TGTGTGTGTGTGTGTGTGTGTGTGTGTGTGTGTGAGAGAACGCCCCACACCTCTATGCAGAGCCAGCCTCTGTGTGTGTGTGTGTGTGTGTGTGTGTGTGTGTATGTGAACGCCCCACACCTCTATGCGGAGCCAGCCTCCTGTATGTGCCAGGTGGGACTGTGGGGGCAGGTGTGCAAAGCAGGCCCAGCTGGGCAAAGGGAGGACGCTTCCTCTGCACTGGCCGCTGGATGTGAGTGCAGCCAACGGGGGAACAAGTCAGTCCAGCTGGCCCCTGGTGCCTACCTGATCCTCTGAGGTTATGTGAGAATGGCCTGGGGGCCAGCCTGGACTGGGGTTGGGACAAAGGCTGGCCGCAGTCACGATCAGGTATGAGGACCGGAGGAGGGTCTCCTGTCTGGCACTAGAACGACCTGGATTTGGAGAAGAAACTTTGTCGCCTGGTTGGTGAAGGCAGGGTAAAGATGACGGCGACGTAGCCACAACAGTGTCAGTAGCAGCTACCGTTTATTACCGAGGGCCATCTCGCGCGCTGGGCACAGGGCTCAGCATGTCACCAACGAGCCCAGGAGGTGGTGCTGTGACGGCGCCTGTCCTTCAGATAAAGGCCCCGGCTCCCCGAAGGGAGGTCACAGAGGAGGCAGGGGCAGAACTGGGGCCCAGCTTGGTGCTCTGCGTCTCCAGGGCCTGGCTGGGCCCACGTCCCTTGAAGCTGAGGGGCGTGTGCTGACCCTCCGGCTGTTCAGCGTCGCCACTTGGATCCTGACTGGCCAGGTGAGCAGGCCCTCTGTGGGCTGGGCCTGTGCGGCAGGAGCCCTCCCCTCGGCTACCCTGACCTTCAGGGAACACACGCTGGCCCTTATCTGGAACGTGGGCAGGTGGGGGGCCTGCAGCCCCGGCCCAGGGCTCCGCCCACTCCAAGGACTCGACTCCCTGCCATTGCACCCGTCCCGTCCCGCTCCTGCAGGCAGGCCAGGTGGGAGGGCGGCGACAGCCCGGCAGCAGTGTGGGGCCTGTCCATCGAGGGGCACTTGGGGCCCGTGTCACAGAGCTCCTCCAGTGCTGTCCTGGGCGTCAGTGGCTCATGTCCAGGCAGCAGGGCAGTCTGGAGTCCCTGGCTGGGTCAGATGCTGAACACAGGCTCCTGGGTGGCCCTGCCCTGGTGCTGGGTCTTGGTTGAAGGCTAGTGCCCCGGTCACCCTTGGGTCCTTCAGCCTGGTCATCGGGCCTCAGGGCACCAAGGCTCGGGCCAGCCTGGGCCTCCTGTCCGCTGGCGGCCATGGCTGTCCCAGACCCAGGCCGTGCTGGTGGCGGCCGTGACGGGCTCTGCTTAGCGGCGGGAGCTGTCCAGCAGCACGAAAAGCAGCCCCAGCAGCGCGAGTGGGGCGAAGATGAGCAGCAGCCCCAGCAGCTCGAGGGCCAGCAGCCCCAGCAGCGCCAGGCGGCGGGCGCAGGGCCCCCGTTCCCGCAGGGCCCAGAGCCGGGAGCCCAGGCAGGGCGGGCAGGGCAGAAAGGGCAGGCAGCCTCGGCTGCCCACAGGCCCCGGCAGGAAGCGCAGCTGGTAGCGGTGCTCTAGGGAGGCCCAGGGCCCGGGGCCCCGGCGGGGCGGCATGGGGAGGGCGTTGGGCGCAGGGCGCTGGGGCCCATCGGCTTGGAGCAGCTCCTCCTGCAGCCGGCAGATCGCCCAGTCGAGCGTGGGTGTTTTCTGGCGACACAGCGGGCAGCACACCCGGCCCAGGTCAGCACTGGGGGCTGCACCCAGCAGCCGGTGCAGGCAGCCCACACACAGGCCGTGGCCGCAGTTCAGCAGGGTGAGGCGGTGCTCCCCGGGCCCGTAGGCCTCAGTGCAGATGGGGCACTCCTCGTCCTCGTCCTCGTTCTCTGTGGGCCGGGCCCAGGGGCGGGCCGAGGCTGCGGCCCCCAGCAGGGGCTCACTGTCTGGAGTCCTGGCACCCTGGGGGCTCCCAAGGGCCCTGCTGTCCGACCCATTATCTACCAGCACTTGGCGCAGAGGGTCCAGGTGCTCAGGGCCCAGGGAGGCCAAAGGCAGACTGGTGAGCCCAGAGCTGAGGTCAGCAGGGCCATGAGTGGGGGCCCCAGGGCACAGTTCAGGGGCGGTGCCTCCAGGGCAGGGGTCGGGATGGGTGGGTGGGGACCCCAGGGCGGCGACGGGGCAGGCCGGGGCTGTGAAGGTCAGTGTGGCCCTCCGGGGCTGGGGCACGGCCTGGCACTGACCTTGCAGCGACCGCCTCCTCCTCCTGGCTCCAGGCCCCACTCAGAATAAACTTCACTCGGGCCCCAACAGCCGTGCCAGCTGCGGGCGGCTCCTGGGCCCAGCGTGCCGTCCCGTCCCCAAGAGGCTCTGCCAGGCCCAGCCGCAGCGATCCTTGTGTCAGCCAGCTGTATTCTAGGCGGCGGCGCTGTGGGCAGGCCAGCCTAACTCCTCCAGCAGGAATTCCACTCCCGGGGTGGGGACACCGCGCACACGTCTCTCCCCCACCAGCCTGGGCCCCGCCCCTCCCCTCCCACCCGAGGCCCCGCCCCCTCCCTCCCAGGGCCCTGGGCTGCTCTGCCCTGGGCTGGGAGGGGACGGTCGACGCCAGCCTTGCCCGGTGCCTCTCCAGGCCTCCCCCTACTGGGCCGTCAGGGCCAGGGCAGAACTTGTACAAGGAGGGCAAACAGCTGGCACCCACCGCGTGAGAATCGGGCACCGAGGTGTGGGGCTGAGCAACGGTGCCCTCGCGCCCAGCAGGGCGGGTGAGCTGTGGGCCCACCCACCACCTGAGAAGCACTATGGCACAAGGAAGAGCAGGTAAGAAGCGGCCGCCCAGAGCCCATCCTTTATTACTCAGGCTGTACGGTGTGGGCTGCCTGGGGGTCTCCTCCCGCTGCTCGGGGTCTGTGCAGGAAGGAGAGCTGACTGTCCTCCCAGCTGGGACTGGACAGGGAGAGAGGTAACAATGGTCTCCAGAGAGCAGAAGTCAGAGTGGCCGTGGCCAACAGCAGGACGGCTCCTCAGGCCCACGTCTCGGTCTGGAAACGCAGGGTTCGCTGGAGCCTGGCGAGGTAGGCGGCCGCGGCGGGGCCGGAGAGCCCGCCCTCCTCCTGGAAGATGGACGTCAGGGCGTCCGACACATCAGCTGGCATGTACTTGGCGTTGCTGGAGGGAAAGGCAGGCTAGGGCTCAGCACGGTCGGAGTCCCCAGGGGACTGGTCCCCCGCCACGACCTGCGTCCGGGCTCACCCCGCCAGGTAGAAGTGAGCGCCCCGGAGATCCAGCAGCCCCCACACCAGCGGCCCGAGCTCCCGGAGCCGGTGCTGCACGTACACCTTCTGCTCCTGCAGGGCGGGGGGACGGGGTGAGTCTGCGCCCCCAGCGTCCCTCCCCGCCCCCCACACACCCACCTGCTCCCGGGAGAAGGCCGTGACGAGAGTCAGGCAGCCCCGCGTCTGCAGCTCCTTCCACTCGGCCTCCCAGTAGAAGTCCTGGTCCCGCTGGCGGCAGCCGAAGAACAAGACGTTTCCTGGGGAAGCGCGGGGGCCTTGAGCCAGGACTTGGGCCCTCGAGGTTCAGCCCGGCCGCCACCCCACCTGAGACTCTGTGCTCACCGGTCTCACCCTGGGCCACTCGCTCCTGGATGGCCGCTCGGAAGGGGGCCACGCCAGTGCCTGGCCCCACCATGATCACAGGCGTGTCTGGTGTCTTTGGGAACGTCAGGCCCCCGGACCGCACCCACAGGGGCACCCGAACAGGTCCTATCGCGGGAGGGAGGCGGCGTGAAGAAGCTTGGAGGCCCAGGGCCCTAGCCCGGGACTGGCTGTGGTGCACGCGGGGGAACGGGGCCTGCGCACGGCCCCCCGCCCCAGAGAGCCAGGGTCACCTTGCCCAGGGTCCAGAGACGCCAGCCAGTTGGAACAGAGGCCCCGGCGGGGCTCCTTGAGGCGCGTCTGGTACTGCACCACTGCCACGAGAATCTGCAGCCTCGAGGGGTGGGCCTGGGGGAGGGGACAGTGGGTACCCTGCCCTGCTTCAGGCTCCAGCCCCTTCACCCGGCTGGGTCCCAGTGGCCGCTGAGGGTTGGGGAAGGCCCGAAGCCCTCACGCAGGGCCCTGCTGCCCACCCTGGTGGCCCCGGCTCTGGCTGCCCCGAGGCCGGCCCCTCACCAGCAGAGAAGAGGCGATGGAGAAGGCCCGCGGCCGGATCAGGGGGATGAGGTCCAACAGGTAGTCCGGGGGGATGGCGCCAGCCGTGTGTGGGAAGTCGCACAGCACCTGGCGGAGACAGCCTCAGGAGGGCTGCGGCTGGAACGGCCACACACGCCCGCCCGCCCGCCTGCCCCTGCCCGCACCTCCAGGACCGTCCTGCGGGGCCGGGTGCAGTACTCGCACAGCTCCTCCTGGCCCTGGGCCGAGCTGAACTCCAGCAGCTTCTCCCGCTCGAGCTCATGGCAGGAGAGGCAGGCCAAGAGCTCAAAGAAGGAGCGGCGGGGGACGCTGGCGATGTCCAGGTACTGGGACACGAGGCGCTGAATGGAGCAGGGCTGGGGCAGCCGCGCGGGGCAGGGGACACCTGCAGTGGGGAACGGGAGGCTGTGGGGGGCTGGGGACGCGGGTGGGGGCAGCCCGGGGGCTGGGGACACAGAAGAGGGCGCAGTGCACGGTGGCAGCAGCGGCGGCTGGGGCTCACCCGGCTCCCGGGGCTGCAGCGTGAAGTGCTGGTCAGGGTCCAGGCCCAGTGCCTGACAGAACTGCTGGACGTGGCTGGCCGTGTTCTCGGGCTGTATCAGCACCACGTCGCCGGCCACAAAGCTGTGGGGGACACCCAGGGCTCTGGGGGACTTCAGAGGAAGGAAACAAGCGGCCAGGGAGGCCGGGGGCGGTCCTTGGTCCCCCCTCCCTGGCCGCCGTCTCTCTTCTCTTCCCCGCTGAGTGCCCGCTTTGGAAGAGGACCTGCTGAACCCCAGACCACGGTCCCCCCTGCTGCGGCCATGCCCCCCACGGGTCCCCAGGACCAGCCCTCACCTGACCCCAGAGCCCGTGATGTCGAACTCAATCAGCCGAACATCCTGGAAGTGTGAGGGGCCGGTGACCCTCTGATTGGTGACCATGGGTGCCAGGAAGGGCTGTAACTCTGAAGGGGGTCCCTGAGGGTCTGTCCCGGCCACACACAGCTCCTCAGAGCACGTGCTGGGGACCTCCTGGAGGAACTTCAGGGTGAACTTGGAGGGCCAGCTGTAAAGGGGGAAGACACTTGTCGGACCACTGGCCAGCCTGGACAAGCGGCCTGCTGCGCCTGCAGGCGCCGCCCCAAGGCCACACTTACGGGATTCCGGGCGGGCTCAGGCCGAGGTCAAGGGGCAAAGGGTGCGGCCCCAGCACCTTCTCCCACAGGTCGTGCAGCCAGGGGTCGATGGTGGCGTCGGGCCTGCAGAGAGCACATGCACCCTGGTCTGGGGACCCCGCTCCCGGCTGGGCCTGCAGGAGGGTGCTCCGCCCCCCACTCACCCCAGCTCGTGCTGGTCATCGCCCAGGCACACGGGCAGGAGGGCGCTGCCCCCAAGCTGCAGCAGCCGTCGGTGCAGCTTCTTGGCCACAAAGTTGAACCTACGGAGAGACGGAGGCTGGCGCTGACCCGGGCCCCAGGCGGGGGCAGGAGGGAAGCACCCAGCTGGCTGCGCAGGGTGGAGGGTCCCAAGTCTTCCTGGGGTCACTTCGCTGCTCCCTGAAGGGCAGCTCCTCGCAGAGCCACTGTCAACGGAAGGGTCTCTCACCCCTCCTGTGGGCGCGCCCAACAGCAGGAATGGATGTCTACGTTACGCACTGAACAGAACCCCTAAGCCCCCGTAGGCAAGGATAACTATGCCACCCATTTTCTGTCCTTTTCACCTGGACGACTGCAGGCCTCGTGCTGCGTCCGGCTCTGGAAGTGTCTGTACCCAGCGACCCCTCCCTCAGCTCCTGTGCTGCACAGTTACGGTTTTAATATCTTGGGAACCTAACGCCATGCATACCCTTGAACACAAAGCCCTCTGTACTTCCCCAAGAAATAACGCAGAGCGATAGCATTCTCTGCTTAGGACATGGCTACGTTGTGAAAACGTTGAAAGAAAAAAAGCCGGGGCAGGCAGTCCCATGGCCACGTCCAGGGAAGTGCTGGCTTCAGGGCGGCTCCCAGGGGCTGGGGTCTTCTGTGCCTGCCACCTGTTCGCAGCTCACTGTTCTATGTGCTCTTCGCAAACCCAAATGTCTCATGAAAGGCTTTTATAAAAGTGGGGGAAGAGCAGGTAGGCCTTTGCTGCCCTACGTCACACGGTGACAGGTGACGCTGGCTCAGACCTCGGACGTCCGGCTCCAAACATCACCTCCTGCCCTGGAAGGTGCCTTGGGCGTGGCCCCAGCCTGGCGCCCACCTTGCCGCCCTGCCCACTTCCTGCATGGATCTGGCCTGCCCTCCGAGCCCTGGGGCCTCTGGCCATGGAGGAGGTGCCCGCCAGAGAGTATCTGTGGGACGAGAACGCATGGCCAGGGCCACATCCCGAAGTGGGAGCCCTGGGGGCTGGGCCACCCAGCCCTCTGCCGGGACACCTTGTGCTTGGCCCCAAAGACAGTCTCTGCAGGCCAGCAGCCTGCCCACCCTTACTCACTTGGCGTAAGATGAGTCCCCAAGGCCCAGGACGGCAAAGTCCATCTGACAGAGGGAGGTCGATGGCAGGTTCCTCCGGAAGATGAACCTCCAGAAGCTCTACAGCAGGAGAGACCGAGCCCGAGTCCCTCTCCTTCCGACTGCAGGGCCGCCCGCTGGGCAGCCCGTGCAGCAGCACACCCGTTCCACTCCCCGCCCTGGCCTCCCTGCAGGCCGACAGAGGTGCTTTAAACAAAGCTCCCCTTCACCTTTGGCCACTGGTGACCTGAGCCCTGAGACGCTGCCCTCTGGGTACGGTCCAGGTTTCGCCTCACAGCCCACCTCCCTCTGCTTTGTACCTGGCCAGACAGAGGCCCCCTGGGGTGGAGGGGTCCTGGGCCTGTCGGGGCACAATTCTGCCTACTGGCCCTGGACTGCTCCCTGGAGTTCTCAAGACTTTCCTGCATGGGCCACCGCTGGGGACCACGCCTGCTCTGCCTCCTGAGACCCCCTGCTCATTCCTGCTTAGACCTTGTCTCAGGCAGGCTGTGGAGCCCCCCAGGGTGCTTCCTGAGAAAGGGTCCAGAGAAGATGCAATTCCCACGGCTTACGTCTGAAAACGCCGGGCCTCCCCTCACACTGCCTGGTAGACAGCAGGGCACACTTTACAGGAAATCGTCTTCCCCGAGAGCCTGAAGCTTTGCTCTGAGCTGGTCCAACCGCGTGATCGCTGCCGAGAAGCCAGCGTCGCTCTGCGCCCTGCTCTGTCCCTCGCTAGACACCTGGGCACTCTCTGCGCCCAGCAGTTGAAACCCACATGAGACGTGTGTCAGCGGGAGCCCTGTTCACACCCCACGGGCCCTTCCTGGGCACATGGTGGGCTCGCGGGCTGGAGACTCGTCCTTCAGTCTTGTTGCTTCCCTTGGTAATTCCCTCACCACTCTTCCCGTTTCGAGGCTACTGGAATAATCTCGGAATTCTGATATTATCTTTCATTTCCTATCTCGTTATATTCTCTCGGAGGATTTCTCAATGTTATCTTCTGATCTGGTATCATTTTAAGCAGTGTTTCCTCATCCGTAGCTCTGCCCAGGTTTTGCGTTTCTGTCCCAAGGGTGCCAAGCTCTCCCTTCTCGCAGATGGAACCCTGGCTGCTCTGCCCCCGCTCCGCCGGGTTCCGCTTGTGCTTCTCCTGGTCACTGTCCTTCACGGGGGTCTTTCCTTGAGAGCGTGGTCATTCTTTCTGCTCTATGTGTACTTAAGAATCTGATAGAGGGGGATTCTCTGGTGGCACAATGGCTAAGAATCCACCTGCCAGGGCTTCCCTGGTGGCGCAGTGGTTGAGAATCCGCCTGCCAATGCAGGGGACACGGGTCAAGCCCTGGTCCGGGAAGATCCCACATGCCGCGGAGCGATGAAGCCCGTGCGCCACAACTACTGAACCTGTGCTCTAGAGCCCACGTGCCACAACTACTGAAGCCCGTGTGCCTAGAGCCCATGCTCCGCAACAAGAGAAGCCACCGCGACGAGTAGCCCCCGCTCGACACAACTAGAGAAAGCCCGCACGCAGCCACGGAGACCCAATGCAGCCAAAAAATAAATAAATAAATTTATTTAAAAAAAAAAAGCACTGATAGAAAACCCCACGTTCGCGCCTGTCACCAGTGGGGCAAGGCCCTGGCTGCCTGGGAGGGCACACCTGGCCAGCGTCCTCAGAGGACCGTGACGAGGAGGCTGGGCTCTCCCTGTTCAGTGTGCAGCCGGTCCGGGGCCCCTGATCTGAGCCTCTCAAAGGAGCCTCCAGTCCGTGCTATGTTGGGAGGGCCCCATCCTGACCACTTCCGTAGGGTGTCCATCCCGGCACTCTGCCCTCCTTTATCCACCCTCGTCCCAGTGTCACTGTCACCACCTTCATGCTGTTGGATTCCGACGTGAAGTCTGTACCTCTGCCAGCTGACCTGACGGAGGTCTTCATCGCCTCCCTCGCCCCACCCTGCGTCTCTGGCATCCACCATCCTCCTGCCTTTGGTCTTCCAGACTTGCCTCCTCTCCTGTGCGTGCTCCTGTGTGGGCTCTCCCACAGCATCCCCACTCCAACCCAGTTCTTCAACCTTCTGCCTCCTTTCCCCCACCAACATTTAAACAGGCCTGCGTTTCTCCGTCTCACGAGTATCCTCTTTTTAACCCCTTAGCCCCACTCAGAGCAATAAGCCTTTTCGAATTGTTTCGTGTACAGACGTTCCTCAAGGCTTCTCTCCCCGAGATCACCAGCAGTCCCTTTGCTGATAAAGCCCAGCAATGCCTCTCGGGCCTCTCCCTGCAGCTCTGAGTGCCGGAGACCATCCTCTGGAAACAGCCAGCTCTCTGCCCTTGACCTTGGAGATGGTGTGCTCCCTCTTCTTGCCCATGGGGCCGCTTTCCCGCCCCTCACAGGCTTTTCTCCACCTTCCACGCCCTTCGTGCTTAGGGCAGCTGCCCTGGGGGAGGGAGGCGCCCCCTTTCTCTCGCCTCCACATTCTGGTCACTGTGACATCCACCTCCACCCCGGATCCTCACCGGGGCTCTAGACCAGCTGCGCGTCTCCACCCGGGTGATGTCCAGGCACCTCACCCTCCCTATTCTCTTGCTTCTGTGCCTGGAACCACCATCCATCCTACTACCTGAGCCCAATTTCCTGTCTTGATTCCACCTTCTTTCTCATCTTTGAGATATGATTACACATTCGATCCACTCTACCTTAACATCTCTGGAGTGGGTCCACGTTCCTCTACTCTGCCACCATCCTGGCTCAAGCCACCAGGCTCTTGGCTGCGCTGTGCACCCCCCCCCCCGCATTGTCCCTGCTCTCCTGCAGCCTGTTCCCCCTGCAGACAAGTGCTAGTTTTGCTGGAATACGAACGTGACCACGTCATCCCATGGGTTCCCTGGCCCTTTGTTTCAAGTCCATCTGCCTCCCTGTGACTGCTGGGCTTCTTGGGATCTGACCTGGCTGCCTGGCCCCTTCTCCTCTCCAACCCCGACCATCCTGAACTGCTTTCTGCTCATCCCAGAGGCCGGGCTGTTTTTCTCCTCTGCAGAGGCTGCTCCCTCTTTCCTGGTGCCTGGCTAGCCCCCACTTATCCTTCAGGACTTAGCCTATACACCTTTCTTCTGGAAAGCTCTCCCTGAACTCCCTTATTAATGCTCCCATAACATCTGGCATTTTCCCTGGAAGCATGCACTTCCTGGCATAGTAACTACCCATTCAACTCTTTCACTTTTGCTGTATTTTGAGTTCCGAAAGGGTAGAAACGTGACTACTGGGTTCATAGCCAGATTCCCAGCACTAGATTATGCTCGGAATACAGTGTGTGCTCAAAAGACGGTCAAAGAATCGAAGAATGTTCCCTGAAGGTCAGTTTTGAAATACACACAAGACCCATAACAGATTTATATATAGTCCTGGAAAAACATGAAAAGCTAAAGTGGTAGCCTGTGAAGAGTTTATTAAGATGGACAACCAGAGCCCCCAGCTCCACCGAAAGCTCTCCTCCCAAATCCATGGCTGACGTGCAGCAGATATAGTAGGGCAACTATTTATTGTGCTTCTCAAGACTTTCCAGGCAATGAAAATGGGGTGAGGGCCGAAGGCAGGGATCTGAGCTCCTAGGCACAGTAAGCCACTTCAGGTCAGCCTTACCTTCATGTTGTCCGGGGGCTCTCCTTGGCCTGTAGTTGCACAAACAAATATCACCAGGGGCTCATTTATCAGATTCACCTCAACAAAAAGACACATATGTAAGGCCTCGGGCTGTAATGACCAGGCATCCTCCCAGCAGCCTGGCTCCGTCTCCTTCACTCAGAGAGATGGGGTAAATGTACTTAACACCCGCGAACGGCTGGCCTGCCTTCTCTCTTTCAGGGTCCACCCTCCTACCTCACCCCCTCCTCCATGTGCTAAGCTGGCCGCTGTTCCCAAGCTTTCTCGGCCCCTAAATCTGCCGTAACGGAAGGGCCCGCTCTCAGACAAAACGCGGCGCCCTAGGGTCAAGGGCTCTGGGGGCCGGAACCCCAAGCCTGCTGGGTCTCCCCGCCGAGGCCCAGGGAGCCCTCACCACGGGGTAGGAGTCCAGGGCCTGCACCCGGCAGCCAAGCTCCCTGCGCCGGGCCTCGCGCCTCAGCCTCTCCGACACATCTTCGGCTGTGCCTGTCTGGCTGCCGAAGAGCACCAGAAGCCGCGTGTTCGGCATCGGGGTGCGCCCCGGGGTCCCCTGCATTCAGAAACTGGACCGGCAGGCAGCTCCCGCTGGCCCGGGCGGCCGGGATCGGCTCGGACTTCCGACTTCCGGCGTCGGCCGGAAGTGACGCCCTTGGGCCGCGCCCGGCGGGGCATGGCGTCCGAACAAGGCGGTCGTCGGCTGGCGGCCAGTGCTGGGTCCCGGGCGGGGGCCGGGGGATTGGCTGCATACCGGGGCCGAGGGCCGGGGCAGGCGGGGTCGCTTTCTGCCTCTCGCTGGCCGCGGCGGCGACGGCGGCAGGCGCCAGCGAGGCCCGTGGGGAGTGGCGGCGCAGCCTGGCGGGTGGCACCATCGGCCGGGCCCTGGCCCGCGCTCAACCGGCGCGATGCTTTTCTCGCTCCGGGAGCTGGTGCAGTGGCTGGGCTTCGCTACTTTCGAGATCTTCGTGCACCTGTTGGCCCTGCTGGTGTTCTCCGTGCTGCTGGCCCTGCGTGTGGACGGCCTGGCTCCCGGCCTCTCCTGGTGGAACGTGTTCGTGCCCTTCTTCGCCGCTGACGGGCTCAGCACCTACTTCACCACTATCGTCTCCGTGCGCCTCTTCCAGGATGGAGAGAAGCGGCTGGCTGTGCTCCGCCTTTTCTGGGTCCTCACGGTTCTTGGCCTGAAGTTCGTCTTCGAGATGTTGTTGTGCCAGAAGCTGGTGGAGCAGACTCGGGAGCTCTGGTTTGGCCTGATCACGTCTCCGGTCTTCATTCTCCTGCAGCTGCTCATGATCCGTGCCTGCCGGGTCAACTAGCCTCGCAGAAGATAAGCTAGAATGCGGGACCCCAGGCTGAGGTCCCACTTCCGCCGCACCGGAGGAGAAGTCTGGGTCTGAAAGCCAGCTTGTGCCCTGCTGGGTGCCCAGCTTTCTATCAGTCATCTCTGAAATGGTTCCCTCAGCAGGGCTAAAAAGAGCAGCCTTGATTCTTAAAACGTATTCCCTCTTATTTCATCCTTTGAATAGCTAATCTTGAATTGAGATCCTGAGAAGGATCCTGAGAAGGCCAGACAGTCCTGAACTCCTCTGACAGTTGGAAACGGCATATAAGTAAAATGTCCTGATGGGCTCTGAGTATTTTCATGGCTCCTGGGAAAGTACCCACTATGCAAAGGCTGCAAAGCTGGATTCGGATCTCCCCTGGCCAGCAGTGCTGACCTGAGAGCTTACTGCCCCATCTGCCCAGACAAGATTTCCTTAGATGCTTGAGCTCTAAAAAGTGTAAACCAGCTTGTGTCTCCTCCCCAGTTGCGCTGGGGAGGATGGCTCTTTCTTCATTCCAGCCCAGGCAGACAGGAGTATGTTGAATAAGCATGATCGGGACCCTATCTGGATATCTGTCGCCTGAGAAAAGAACTTGCTTTCGACGCGCTGCTTGTCTACCTATCCCAGCAGATTGCAGTGTCACGACTTTTCCACCACCTCACGGCCGGCACTGTTAGTGCACCTGAGACCTTTAGGCCGCCCTAAGGGACCAGAGAGAGGAACAGGTGCTCTGACGCGCATAGCCATTGAGACCTACACGTGGGAAGTTTGCAGATGGTCTCAGGCCATGCCTGTTGGCCTAAGGGCTTTGGTTTGATGCCAGTCAGGTGCCAAATGAGAACATTTGCTGAGATAAAAATAAAATAAGAGAATGTTTTGCTGAAATGCACAGTGGTTGCCTGACCTTTTGAGGGTGAAATGAGATGAATGCTGAGACGCTCCCTGCTGTGTGGTGTAGCTGGTTACAGAGCTGAGGTTGTGAGGGGGGGGTGCTGGAACTTGGCTAGAGCATACTGGGTGGATGGGGGCCAGTTCCCTTGGAGAATCCCTGCTTCCTGCCTAGGGAGCCAGGGTGAAGACAACCCAGGTGGACCAGTGTTGAGGACCTACCAAGCAGTTTGTGTGACATCAGAGTCTTTGTGGGCCTTGCTGATCTGCAGAGCAGGGGTCAGCAGTCTGTGGCCTGGGGTCTGTTCCTGTGCTGCCCATCAGCTAAGAATAACTTTTCCATTTTCAAAGGGTTGTAAAAACAAAGAAGAATGTGACAGAAAGCGAATGTGGCCTGCAGTGTACAGGGTCTCTCAGTCTTGGCACAGTTGGCCTTTTGGGTCGGATCACTGCTGTGTGTGCAGAGGGAGAAGCCGTTCTGAGCATTGTAGAGTGTTTAGCGGCATCCCTGGCCTCCACTCACTAGATGCCAATAGCACCCCTCACTTGTGACAACCACAAGTGTCTCCTGGAGGACAAAACTGTCCCTGGTAAGAACCACTGGGCTAAAATATTCACTGTATGGCCCTTTACAGAACATGTCTTTGGAGCCTTGTTCTAGTGAAGCAGCTTCATGACTCCTGTCCTGGGATGGATGCTGCATGGCCTGAACCATTGATATGCTTGAGTTGGAGGCTGGTGTAGTTTGTGCCACAGCTACAAAACTGTCTCCTACCCAGGATTGGCATAACTTGTGTCAAAGCCAGGTACAAGCTGACCGTTGGGAGCGGGTTTCCTTTTCATGTTATTCTTAGTTTGTGTGTTTTGTTGCTCCCCTGTTGTGTTCTGGTAGTTCAGGATTAGGTAATCCTGTCGGCATAGATGTGATGGGCATAAGAAGGCTTAGCTTCCTTCGGAAAGGTGATTTGAGCAGAGTTCTGAAGGAACACTTGACCTCTGGAAGGCCGTAATCCAGTTTCTTTTCTCCAGCTGAATAAACAGGGCTGTTAAAGTACCGTTAACGTAGTGGTAGCTGCAGACTGCCATGGGATCCAGAAGCTGCGAAGGGCCCTGGGTTGAAACCTGCCCCTGGTCTCTGCAGAGCCCCGGGCGCTCTTGGAGCCTGGTCCCTGGCAGGTTAGTGGTGTGGGACTCAGTAGTGTCATTTTTGAACATCTGCTGACTGTAGGGCAGGTGATGGAAAGGCAGGTAACATTTGTCCTTGCCTGTGCCCACCAATTTCCCCTTCTCTCCTTGGCTCCCACAGGCCTGAAAGATTGTGGTGGGCACTGTGCAGCCCTCCACGGAGAGTGAACTTCCTCACGGCAAGTAGGCAGAGAAGCTGTGCCCGCAGGGTTAGCCTTGGGATGGGGCCGGTTCAGCGGCTGAATGGAATACACGCCCTGGCTTTTGTGGCTCAGCGTTGGAGAGTTGTGGGCCTGCTTGTGTGCGAGGAGAGTCCCCTGCCTCTGTGCCTGCTCACAGCTTACGCACTCCCGTCCGTGTTTGCTGGGCCCTGGATGACAAAGTGCGGGTAGAGAGTTTCCACCACCTGTCTGAGCCACAGAGTGGATTCTGGGGGCCGGCAAAAGCTAGGGATTTCTGAGAAACCGGTTCCTCAGCACTGGTTGGGGCTCCAGCATTGGCATCTCCGTTAAGGCCTGTAGGGGACCGAGGACCGCAGGTGGGCAGTCCCTGGACCCGGAGGGTCCTGGACCGGGAGGCAAGAGGCTGGCGTGCAGCCGGCACACCGCCCACGGGAGCGGGACAGTCTTCCGGTCCCGGGTTGGCCCTTCCTCCACCGTGCTTTCCGCGGGGGTAACAGGCGGGCAGGGTGCTGGCACGACGAGGAAGGACCAAACCCGGCCAAGGTCATACGCGACCTGGGGCCCAGGGGTCCGACCCGCCCATCGGCCAGGATCCACTCCCTCCGGGCTCCGCCCCGCGGGCGCGGCGGGCCAAGGGAGCAGAGGCGGAAGTGGGGGCCTCCACGGAGCGGCGTGAGGCGTCGCGGGCGTGTCCAAGGGGGCCTCCCCAATGGGGCCGGCTCCAGCGATGGGCGCTGCTCCACTGAGGCCCGCGGGAAGGCGGGGTCGGGGAGAGCGTTCTCCAATCAGCACGGCTGGCCATCCTCCCTCCCATAGGTGAGGCTGCCGGGCGCGGGGCGGGTCTGAACAGGCCTCCCCCAATGGGCGGCGGTCAGGGGGGCGTGGCCGCGGCGCGAAGGCCGGCGGCGGGCGGCGGCCGCAGTTCCCGGCGCGCGCTGGCTCCGGCGGCCGCTCCGCAGCATGGCAGGCCTGGGGCGGCCGAGCCCGGCGCCCCGCGCCACGATGCCCGCCTGGAAGCGAGAGATCCTGGAGCGGAAGCGGGCCAAGCTGGCGGCCTTGGGCGGGGGCGCGGCGCCGGGCGCTGGGGCGGGCGCGGAGGAACCCGCGGGGCCGGCGGCCGAGCCGCTGGTGCTGGCCGAGAGCCTGGGCCCGCTGCGCGAGAACCCGTTCATGCGGCTCGAGTCGGAGCGGCGGCACGGGGCGCGGCGCGGCGGGGCCTCCGGCGCGGCGGGGCCGGGGACGCGGCCCGCGCAACATCTGCTGGAGCTGTACCGCTGCGTGCCCGGCGTGCGCACCATCCGCGCCGACAACATCCTCATTATCGAGTCGGCGCCCGGCTTCCCTCCCTCTCCCGTCCCCGGCCCTGGGCCGGGCCCGGCTGCCCGCATCCGCGCCGCCGAGGTGCTCGTGTACGAGGCGCCGCCGCCTCCCGGCCGCGTTAGCCGCCTGCTCCAGAAGTTCGACCCGCCGGCCGCGCCGCGCCGCCGTGGGAGCCCGGAACGCGGCCGCCCCGTGCCGCCGCCCTCCCCGGGTCCGGCCCTGGTCCCGCGCGTGGGCGAGCGCGCCGCCTGCTTCCAGCCCGAGCCCGAGCGCTGCGGCGCAGGCCCCGGCCCCGGGCCCCGGCGCAGCGACTTCCTGCACAAGACCGGCAGCAACTCCTTCACTGTACATCCACGGGGCCTGCGCCGCAGCGCGGGCACTCGCCCACTCCCCAACGGGCCCGCGGCCCCCGAGCGCCGGGCCGGCGCTGCCAACGGCCTCACGGGCTCCGCGCCTGGGCCGGGCGAGTGGAAGCCAAAGGTGGAGTTGGGGGAGGCCCCCGCCCACCCTCTCCCCAGCCCCGGAACCCCCAGTGCCACTCTAGCCGCGCCCCCGGCATTGCCCACGCTCAGCCCTGCTAGTGCCACTCCCAACCAGCGCCAGTGGGTCTCCGCGGCCACCAGCGCCAACGACTCCTTCGAGATACTGCCGGCCTCCAAGCCAGACATGGACACGATCCCTGCCGGGGACCTCCAGGCCCGGGCTCTGGCCAGCCTTCGCATGAACTCTCGAAACTCTTTCGTGTTCATCCCCAAGCGCAAGACCTCCGGGGCCCCTCCTGCGGAAGGGAGGCAGTCCGTGGGGCCTCCAGAGGGAGAAGTTGGCTGGGCCTCCCAGCACCAGGAGCGTGAAGCCCAGCAGGTGCCTGGAGCAGATGGTGTGTTTGCCGGTGGGAGGAGCCCCTCGGGGGTCGAGGAGGGAGGCTGCCCCGTGCCAGGCACTACTCTCGTGGACTGGACCGTTAGGTGGCAGAGGCTGTCTTCACCACCCCCGTCCC